CGAAAAGTAAATGTAAATAGAACAACACAAATAGTTACCTTGTGTAGTGAGAAAGCCCCTCCATTCACTTGTATTGTAATATCACTGGGAACATCCCGGAAAATCCTACAAAAAATAAACAGCCACACACTCATACAACAAACCATTGCAGCTATTTGAAAACAAAAAAGTTCTCTTTATAGAATACATATCAACAAAACAATCACCAAAGCTTCCACCTTTTATTTTTCGATAATTAACACAACAAAGCACAAAAAAGATATCAAACACAAAACTGAAAGTATCACTCAGGCAATACAGTTAGAACAAGATTACAAGTATTCAAGTGAATTACAACATCAAAACAAATCAAAAAACAAAAAGAAACAAACAAACCATTCATTGTTTCGCTGCTGCCGCGAATTCTTAGGCAAGGAGAGCTGCTGTTGCTGCTTGTCACTGCGGTCCATGGAGAGAAAGAAGGCAACCCAAGAGAGAAAATTAATGGAATGTCAAGGCAAAGAAAAAAAAATGGTATTAGTGGGGTTGAGGGAGAGAACTGGGAAGAGAGACGGGAACCCAGTTGGAGATGTTGCTGTTGGTGAACTTCTTTGGCCATTTTTTTTTCTTTTGTCAAACAGGTGGTGTTCAAACACAGATTGCAATTGTCCAAAGCAATGGGCCTCTTTGGTGGGTCATGCTTTTCTGCTTTTTTTTTGGGTTTTAGTAGCACACTCAAAATCTTGCATAATCTCTTCCTGTTTTTGTTGATCTCTGTTGGATTTAATTTGTTTTTTAAATTAAAGGTGGTGCTGTTTTTCTCTGGTATAAATATTGTAGTGCAGCAAGGGAAAGAGGAGCACAGAAAGCAGGGGTTTGTAACTTTGTTCACAAATAAAGTCAAAACCTCTCATCACGAACAGGCAAAAAAGCGGGAAAGAAAAAAAGTAGCTTAGTTTGACAACTTTGACATATTTTACTTTACTTTTTGTCCCCTGTAAAAGTCTGTAAAAACGATAATAAAAAAAAGTGAAAGATTCCTCCTCCTCTGCCAATAGCGGTAAAATGGTGAATTATAGAAAGATGAGTTATGGACTTAAAAATCATATATTTCAATACTAAATCATGCAAAAACACTTAAATTTACTAAATACATGTGACTTACAAATATTTGCATATACTTAGAAGTTTATACCCTTTTACTACTTATAATTTTGTTACAATTAACCACTATGTTATGAATATTTTCTTCTCTATAGCATTGTTCTTTTCTTATCTAAGAGAAAATTATCCTCACTTCAATAATAAAAACTCATGCATAAGGTTGATCTCACTCTGATCGTGAAATCCCGTGTGAATCAGCAAAAACTACCTTGAAAGACTAAATATATGCACAAGTTTAATTTCATCGTTTTGTTTTGTTAGACAAACACAACCAGATTAAAAAAGCATTTAGGTCTAATTTGATGGCTCGACTTGAATTGTTAACAAAGAGAAACTAAAACAAGCAAAACGAGCAAAACGGTGGAAAGTAAAATGAAGCATTCACCTTTTGGAAAAAATTTTGCACCGTCCCCACGTGAGGAAGAGCAAACAAAGAAAAGGTCAAAAAGAGAAAAGGAACAAACAATGATCAAAATATGGATAGGGAGAGAGTGAGGAGTGGTGTGGCCACTTTTGATAATTCTATGATTTATGATAATTACCCACCACCTGCGGTGGGCCAAATATGTTAGGGGTTTTTTAATGTAAGGCAGGTGGCTTCCGACCCCATATTATTGCCTTTGGTATGATATATATATCCATTGATTTGATATCATATCTTCCACTACCACCACCATTCCTTTGTTGTAGATAGATGCGAACAAAAATAAAAATAAAAACTTTGGTTTTAGTCAAAGTCATTAAACCACGCGTGACATGCATTGTTTGTCACAAGCATAAACAAGCTGCATGACCATGGAGAGCAGGATCCTAAAGTTAAGGATTGGTGGTCGATTTTTTATGAGTGGCATTCTAAGGTTTGAATGCCTTTTTTTGACGTAGAAACAAAATCTTATGTTGTGTCAAACGACAACTCGTATTTTCTTAATTTAGTATCAACTCTGAAAATATCGAGTTCGATTCAAGATTATGCTTTGTTAGTATTAAAATTGAGCTAAGCTGTTTTACTTGATTTAGTTTAGTCTGTTTAAAATGTTGAGGCGGTACTTCGATTCTGACCCTATATATATACACACACGTAGATGCTTATGTTTTGCAGAAGTATTCCCTCAATAATTTGTGCCATACTGGGATACAGTCCATGGATTAAAAGGGTGAAGAATATTGAGGACTGAAGGCGTGCATCTGTTGTTGTGATGGTGAGGAAAAGACAGTCGCATCATTAGTACTTTTGCACGCGAAGTGTTTTTTACCAAGTAATTAGTGATATGCGACATAAACATATAATAAAGGCATCCTCCTATATTAATCAGCTAGTTACAATTTTCGTGTTCTAATTATGCATAATGCATCATCTCACTATATAATACTTTAAATTCGCACTCATTCTATCTATACATGTGAGCGTGACAGTTACTACTGGAGGAGAACGAGTTTCTCACATACACACTACCAATGTGTTATAAGGGTTTGAATTTAAAATCACTGGTTTGTAAGTTAATATCATTTGTACTAAGTTATACCAGTGACACCATGAGGTCAATGGGATCAAATGACCCCATGACAGTAATGGAAATGGACTTCAAAGTCGTCGTTTGCTGGTGGTGCGACCCCTTGAAGTTGCCCACCAACTGCTCGACGGAAGTTCAAAGAAGGATAAGGGTTTTTGTTGGGATCTAATGGACCAAAATCTTTTAGAATTCAGCCTCTTTGTGAGGCCATCATTGAGGATCTGTGCTGGGTGAGGAAAAGGGAGGGGCTGCGGTCTAGGGATGTTTGGGGAAGAGTGGATTTGGGTGGGGTGGGTTGTTTTTCTTTTTCTTTTTAGTTTATTTATTTATTTAATTTATTTAGTAATTGTTAACTCTGAGAACCCTATCTATGTACAATTTATCGAATAGCTATCAAACCTTTTTTTTTTCCATGAATTATGAATGAAGTACTATTTTTGTATTTTTCAGTGTTATTTATTTATTTTTTTTAAATCGTAACCTTTACACTGTGATCCCGTGAGTGAACAATCCTTGATTCGCCACTGAACTAGACCCCTTCGATGTCCTTCTTTTTCTTTTATAAAAAACAAAGCTTATAAAAATAACCATAAATAGTGTTGTGAACGAAAGTTAGCAAAAGTCTCTTCTCTTAAATAAAAGTATAGATACTTATAAAGGACATGCACATTTCACTGAATTGGACACCACTGAGACATGACACTAACCTCTTTGAATTATTGATCTTTTGTTTGATCATAAAAAAAATAATTCAAATGTTGCATCCCAAGTTCTATCAATTTTCGATGCTTCCCATCTCTCAGTTATTGGGGACCACGTTTTTTTAACTAGTCGTGTACCTTGGGCTGGTTGAGACTTGGACGATAGAGTTCATCTTGAGCTTGAGTCTCAACAATTTTCAATCGATCCCGATCGACATCAAGATAAGTTTAGATTGGGAGTTCATACCAACCTTTCAATTCAAATCTCAATTTGATTGACCTAATAATCACAACTCGTTGTTCATTGTTTGAGTAGATCAATCCAAACTCAACCCCGAAATCAATCATAACTCATCATCACCATAATTTAAAGGAAAATTATGAAAAGTAGCCAAATTTCGTTTACCTTTTAAAGCTTATTTGTTTACATTGTTAGAATTTTATCGACCCGTCAGAGTTCGAGCACTTGTTGAATGGTTATTGTTTGTGCAAATAATCTCACGGGAGAATATTCGCTTCTAGATCCTTCAACCTTCGATCTTCCTTCTCTCTCTTCCTCGATTTCTGTAAAAAAGACTGGAGTAAATAGACCACACCCGGGGGGTGTTGGCCAAAGGCCCTCCGATGCCTAAGTTAGTTCGAGTGTTTGTAGGAAAACAATAGCTAAGCAAAGGGTACGGAGTTGTATGGTGTAAACCGGGTGGCCGGAGCCATGTGGAGAAAATATGGAGAGTGGAGAGTGGAGAGGGAGAGAGAGCTTCGGGTATTTTCTCGGGTTTTGGAGCTAGGGTTTGAAGTACCTTGAATGATGATTGAAGTCATCTATTTATAGGAGCCTCGGGGCTAGGGTTTCGTAGCCTCGGGGCTAGGGTTTCGTAGAGATTGAGTCGGACTTTGATAATATTTGAATTATCTCGTTAATTATAAGATAATATCCTATAATTAGGATATTATCCCTTTGATAAGATAATAACCAAATTATTAATATTATCTCATTAATTATAAGATAATATCCCTTTATCATGATAATATCCCAATTAATGATATTATCTTTATTAATTATGAGATAATACCATATAATTAAGATATTATCCTGATTAATCAATTATCCCAATAAATGGTTTAATTAATTAATTTAAGGGATAATCTTCTTTTCCACGTGGCGTGCTCTGATTGGAGACGAAAATATTTGCTCCCACAGTTATATTTAGAAATAATTAAAGAAAATTGACGAAATGGAACTTACATTTGTCACATCAACACGAAAAATAAGGTTCATATTCGCCACGTCAGAATTTAACATACCTACTAACGGTTTGTGTAATAGAGCATCTCATTTGTTGAGTTTTCGTAAGTTTGAGTATCAGATTGTAGGGTCTTCAAAGTTCATGTATGACTTTGTAACGACTCGAGGTTTTATGTAGTTGATCCAAAAAATATACATGATAGGGTTTATTTTGAAAAGGGCCTAAAATGCAAAGAAGAAGCCCATCCTTGTTTATCTCTATTTTAAGAGCCCGTTAATAGTCTCATCCAATTCAAGCCCATATCAACGTCATATGTAATCGGGCCGTTGACCCATTTGCCCATTGGCTAGCCCGCAGCAAGTTGTAACTTGTTACGATAAGGCAGAAAGCAGCAGATCAGACGAACCGCAACAACAGTACTAACTCAGTTGTTCGTCTCTCTGTTTTCACCATGCACTCCGTCGCCAATGGATTTGTCTTCGTGGTTCCGACGCAGCCTCTTAAGGAAGAGTGAAAAGACCAAAAACCCAGATCCCTCTGAGCAAACCCTCCTGCCCCGAAGTGAAGAAGAAGAGCAACTGGGAGTCACAGAGGAACTGATCGACCATGTCAAGTCTTTCACTTTAGACACTTTCAAGAATTTCCCTCTCCCAGGTATGTGAAAGGGAAGAGCTTTATGAATTTTTTGCTTGTTTCGGTTAAATTTGATATTGGGTTTTTTTGGGTTCATTTGGTTTTGGGTAAATAATAAAAATCTTAAGCTGGGTTTCTCTGCATACATTTGAATCTGTTCATCAGTGTGCATATATGGACAGTGGACTGTAATGGGTTGGGTTCTTTCTTTTCTTGTTGATGGAATTAAATGTTGTGCATTTAATTGGTTACTGTGCAGATGATGAGGGCGCTGACAATTCTCCTACAACTTCGAGCAACACTCAAAAAGATCTCTCTGAATGGCAGGAAAAACATGCCACTCTTGTGCTCTCAAAAGTGAAGGTTGAATTCTAGCTTCTTGTATTTGATATCAAATTCATAGTTCTAAAGTTGGTTTAACATGTAACTTTGTATATCAACAATTACCCTTTTAGAATCCTGCCCCCTGGCCTTAGAGGAATTTTCTCTAGCAACTAGCAATTTGAAATTACTTTCTAATTGGTTGGTGCCTTTGATTGTGTTAAGTTTTTAGTACGTAAAGGACTGGTTTTAGTCTCAGGAGCTCAGGAAATTGAATTAGACACTAAAAATGGGATTTTCCAGGCACCACAGCTAGATTGCTTATAAGTTATATAACTTGGAGCTGCATCATACAACCCTTTGCGAGCATAATTGCGGATCTTTCTTGTTTTTCAGGAACTTTCCCATCTGAGATATAAACTATGCCCGGGATACTTGAAGGAGCATCAATTTTGGAGAATATACTTTCTGCTTGTAAAGAAACAAGTGGCTGAGTAAGTATTTTATACGTTTCGGATTTTCACGTATTTTGCATCAGTGTTATTTAATAAGAGCACGGTTCTGAATGATTGATTAGTTGTTGAGAGGATTTAGGAGTATTCTTCTAAATGGTTTACTGTCACATAGTATTCTGTATGAGCGACAGGGCAGGAGGCTAGGTGATGAAATTCTACCTGATTTTTACACGAGTGTTTGGTCACCTACAGATTGCTCCTGATGGATCTCTAGCTCTTTTCCTCTTCCTATCATAAGGCCAGAAAAGAGTGATTAGAAAATTAATCAAGCATATATTATCAACTAATCTCAACACTATTGAAAACTCTACATCCAGTTGGCATTGGCTTAGTCAATCACATAGGCTGTGCACCTCCACCATTTGAATCTTCTAAAGAAAAGCAAACTAAGTTGGCGTATCGAAATTTGCTTTGTTGGGAATCAGATAGCACCAAGCTCATGATTTAGTCTGACATCCTAAGGCTTATAATGGATCTTGACTATCTTGGAAGTTTTTTGTTGACAACAGGATGATGTGTATGTAAAGGGTAATTTAAAAAGCATAATATGTTCCTGTCTTCTTTTTGAAAGATAGAGAACATCAATTTACGGATGCAAGCTAGAAATAGAGATGCATAAGAGTCCATGACTACATTTCTCCGGACATGTGTCGTTCTTCTTTTGAACAAGTTCCTCTAGATTATGTTTAGTGTCTGCATATTGGTCAACATGATAATGAGTTATCCCAACAAACATTCATGACTGAGTTTGTACCTTAACAAAAAATTCATTCAAGAATTAACGTGATAAGAAGACTGCTTTGGAATAATGAAAGTTGCTTTCTCGTACAACTATCTTTGGTTTGGACTTTTTTCTTTTCTTTTAATTATCGTTGTTAGCAACTTGGTTATCATTTTAAATTGCACACACTCATTAAACGTGGTTTCCTGATTTGATTATCAGATACGAGCTGCGTGCCATACAACTAGCGAGGCTGAAAGAAATGGCAGTGGAGAATGAGAAGTCTACAAATTCCATTGCATATGAAGTTGAAATGTCAGAGGCAAAGCAGGGAGCAAGCTTAGCCCTTCCAACTCCATAGCTTTATGCATTTCTTTTTAGGAGTAGGAATGTATTGGGTAGTCGACTGACTGATCCACTGAACAGAACGTATTGGAAAAATGTAGAATCGTTTATGCATTCTTTTTCTTTTTCTTTTTTTAATTGTGCAGACGAAATAGTAGTTTCTTAACGGCTTTCTTATTAGAGCTTCTCCAGTAAGGATTTTATGTTGAGATTGGTTAAAGATTTCTAATCTCAGTCATCCATTAGTAATGGGTTACATAATTCACATACATGTGATCCAATGGCTGAGTTTAGAAACTAGTCATCAACATAGTTTTATGTACTACATGCAAAATCATCACTGTCTTTGTTTGACTTTCCAATGGTTGATTCCTTTAAGAATTGTGGAGACCTTCTGAAGATGCGTCAGAGAGGCAATGTTCTTTTTGGATCTGATGA